GCGGCGGGGGCGGTGGGCGGGGCGGGGCATGGGGCGGAGCTCTGGGAAGACCCTTTGGAAAAGCCTTTGGCGCCCTGCTGAGACATCGCTGCGTTTGGTCAAGGAGAATCTGAAAGAAAGACAATCTTTCAAAAAGCCCGCCTTATCTTTCCAATAGAAGAAGTCAGAATTTTTGACTTTTTCCTTAAAAACAATTCAGTCTGGCTTGGGGCAAGAGGGTTGAGAGAATGGAAAGAAAAGAAGGGAATCAAAGAAACAAACCCCAATAAGGAGCTTCTGGCTGCAGAGGCACAACACAGGAAACAATACGCAAAGAATCAATGCAGTTTCCCTAACTGGCATAAGGCCCATCCAAGGTCTCCATGGGAAAATAAAGAGGATATGGCTGCAGTGTGTCTGCATGAATCAATCAAAAATCTTCTAGCTCTCTCCCTTTCCCCACTTGTACTTGAACCGCAGGGCTTTTTCCAAGTGGTGATCTCCATCAATGTTGTATAACTACTGCATCCGTCAGAAAACACTCAAATACCACCTTCGTTCCCACCCCCTCTTCAGTATAGAGTCTCTGAAAACACAAGAGCATGTCCTGCACATTCTCTCTTGTCTGTCCCCGGCATTATAAGGAAAAGGCAAATCATGGTAGAGACTAAAGACGTGGGTTCTAGTCACAGTTCCTTTACAGACTGGGGAACCTTTCCAAGGTTAGCTCCATGCCGGGCCTTTTCATCTTCATAGGCAACACAAAAGGCTGGCCCACTAGAAGCTCAATTCCTGGGCTGTCTTCCCACAGCTACTTTCTGGCTGTGTCCTACTTCTCCCTTCTGTCTTCTGCTCTTCCCAGCTTCCTCCCCCCAGACCTTGCTTGGATACTTACTAGACCTTGGCTCCACAGGAAGACTCACTCAGTTCTCCAACTGGAACTTGCCACTTGCTAGGCAGAAGACTGAACAGCATATGGCCAGAGAACCTTTTATAAGATTCCAAAAAGTCGGGTCCTTGGGAGGGGCCCATTTCTCAACAGACATGCTCAGCTGACACTTACATCCCAGAGGCATTCATCACTCAGACAGCACTGTAGGTGGTGCACGTGGATGTCCAAGTCACTTCACAGAGGTGCCAGGATTGCTGCGGTGTGTTTACTTTCCAAACAGGACACTGTTCATAGCTGGGAGGGCTGTGTGGATGCTCAGAGGAGGCCCGAGGCTCAAATGAAGAGAGGTCTGGGGTCCTTTCTGCTCTCTTAAGCACCACACACACACACACACACACACACACACACACACACACACACACACACACCATGTTATGAGGGGAAGAGAACACAGGCACCTTTCCACTTTCTCACACCATTCATTTGTAGCCATCTTCTTATCATTTATTGTCTTATTTGCATCTCTATGGCCTTTTGGTCTTGTCTTGTATGGCAGGCTGCAGGCTGTGTGATAAACTCTCTGGGCTTGTCTAGACACTTATAGAGATAGTTGGATGAAGATGATCGAGGGGATGGAATGCCAGTGGTGATTTCTTCCTGTCACTGTTGACAAGAAGAGAAACACAGGCAAAGTTAAGGGACCATTAAGCCCAAAAGAAGTCACTTCATCATATTCCCATAATGCAACCCTGGTGGATCTCAGACAAAAAAAAAATGGGTGAGAGGTGTGGACCTATTGAAAAAATAGCAAATCAGTCCATGGACCTCCTGTTTCTGATCTCACCTCCCTTAAGGATAGATTTTCCCTGGGACTACTACTGTCAAAGAAAGGGAAAAAAGAAAAGGATAAAAGAGCAAAGAAGCAAGAAGAGGAGAATAAAAGAACAGATGGCTCAAAAGTTCCCGAGGTAATTGTTGCTTTTGATTAGCTGATTTTTCAAACTGGAGGAAACTTTTTCAGTCAACTGCCTCCAAAGTGTCTGTCAATCATTGCAACTACGTGGCCATAACAACCATGAGGATGAGACATAAGAGAATCTAAGACTAAGAATCCAGGGGTTAAGAGTGAGAGACAGGCTTTGGGGTGCATGTACCGGGTGTGGCATGAGGAAACAGACAAGGAAAGACAAGTCATAGACGATACCCGTTTCATTTACCATGGCTTTAGAGCCTGATTAACAGGTTGCCTACTGTACCTAGAGCACCTCTCGGCAAGGAGAGGTAAGACATTTCCAAAAAATGAGATCAACATTAGAAAAGAGAAGGAAGTAATGAGGTAATAATGTAGATGTGTGTTCTCCTCAAAAAACTATGTGAAAGGTGAAGGAAAAACAGGGTGATAGGAATCAACCCGAAGAGAGATCAAGCAGCTACTGACTGAATGGACCCCTTACATCACTGTTAACTCTTCTCAAAGGAGGGGGTGCCTGCTTCTTGTTTAGGAAAGTTGACTTGCAATCATCTCTTCTATCAGAAACATTTTTAGTATCTCCCGAAGAAACCATCCCAGTCTCAGAGAAATATTACATCAACAACCAAGCTCAGTGACTGAAGTACCCTTGACTCCCTTGCACACACATGTACACACATACATGTACACACACATGTACACACACGTACACACACACACACACACACACACACACACACACACACACACACACCCCCACACCCCCACCCCCCCACACACACACACACACTGCTGCCACCACCACCACTATGTGGGGATAATCTTTGGCTGAGATGACATCTTTGTTCTCTAGTTAGACCCAAACCTAAAATTCTAGAGTCCAAGAAAAACATTTTACATTTCACAGCTGTCTCCTCAGCTAATGCCTCTAGAAATGCTGCCCTCTCTGATTTCCTGTCTGTCCACTAATAATAATCAGAAAGCAGAGTGTCTACTCACTAGAGCCCACAGTGGGCACTTCAGGCAATCTTATTCTCCATAATTAAGCGGTAAACTTTTCCAAACCGCAGCTCTCTCTTGAAGGACATCCTCTCAGAATGGGGCTTTTCTGGGTACTACTGGCTTCACCTCATCCCACTCCCAGTCCCCCTCGTGCAAGGTAAGGAGTAAGGGCACAGGTCTCAGGCATAATTCTTACTTTCAAGCTTGAAGTTTCCAAATTCAGAGCACTAAGTGAACGTTGGTTCTCAGAGTTTTTAAGTGGATTCAGTGGCAAAACATGCACTTTTGATAAAGAAAGGGAATATGGGGCTTTGTGTGGAAACGGGGATGGAAGGCCTAAACAAAACAGCATTGGGAGGCCACGATATCATGAATCAAAAGCTTTATTGTTACCCAGAAAAGAACTTCGGAGCTGAGTTTTCAGCATCTCATCGCCAAAGAGAAAAACCAAAGCCAATTGAGACCTCAAGACCTCGCGGTAGATGAGTTTTGTGGGGATGAAGAAAAGGCATACAGAGAGTTACAGAAGTGTTTCTGCAGGAGAAGAGGAGATACTGGCTGGCAGGTCTTCCTTCCATCAGGTCAGCGCCGCTCTCCCTGGTCCTCTTCCCCAGGTTAGCAGCAACCTCCAGAGCAGCAGCCAGAGCCCGAAGACTGCTGGCTGCTGCTACCTCCAGCAGCTGCTGCCGCCACTGCTGCCACCACTACTGCCGCCACAGCAGCTGCTGCCGCCACTGCTGCCACCACTACTGCCGCCACAGCAGCTGCTGCCGCCACTGCTGCCACCACTACTGCCACCACAGCAGCTGCTGCCACCACTGCTGCCGCCACAGCAGCTGCTGCTGCCACTGCTACTGCCACAGCAGCTGCTGCCACTGCTGCTGCCACAACTACTGCCACAGCAGCTGCTGCCACCGCTGCTACTGCTGCTACAGCATCCAGAGCTGTGACGTCGGCGACGGAGAGAGAATCGGGGCTTGTGATGGCTCAGGCAGCAGCTGCCACCTCCAGAGCTGCAGCAGCCCCCGGAGCTGGAACCACAGCAGGAAGAGACAGGGGGGCACTGGGGAGTCTTGCACTTGGGAGGAGGAGGTGGGCACTTTTGCTGGCTCTGCTGGCAGGACATCTTAAAAGGAACTGGATAAAACTGAAAGATAATGCAGGAATTTTAAGTTCAACAAGCCCAACTTTGCTTTAAACTCTGAACTATGCTTTCACAATATTTTACCTCTACGATGATCAGGTCTTTTAAAACCCTATCTCCTACATTCACTCCCAAAATAAAAAAAATACAAAGATCCCAATATAGGCACGTCATCCTTTCAAATGAATTCATTGCAAGGTAAAAAAAAGTTACCAATCACAATCTTCCACTACCTTCCCTTTTCAGACAGACCCTTCCCTCCAAACCCTCCTTTTCCCTTGTTCATTGCCAAGATTGCCCTCGGCTCCACCCAGAGCCCCTTTCCGCCCAGAAAACCAGCACCAGAGTCGCTCTGGCCTGGGAAATGTTCTACCTCACACAGGCACTGGAACAGATTGCTCGGGAAGCAATGGACTGAGGTGCTGTGAGAAGCTTCTGCCTTTTATATAGTTCTGCTCTGACCTAAGAGCCCCATGTGTGGGATACTGATAGCATCTTTCATGAGGGCTATGGATGACTACCTCCCCTTACATCCCAAGGACCCAATTCCTCCCTCTTTAAGCATCTGAGGTATTAATGCACAGAAAGAGTCTCTGAAGATTGCAAACCTGTGTGATGGTGATAGAACATTGCATACTACATACAGCACCCATCTGTCAATCTCACAAGCAGCTCTGCTATGCTCCCTATTTCCTGCGCTAAGCCAACCCAATTCTAGGCCTCAGAGGGCAAAGATATGATCTCTTTGTTCCTTAGAACAGGAAATGGAGGGGAACATTCCCAAAATGGTAATTAAATGGTGCTTTTAGAATAAGGACAGGAATCCCAAATAAAAACCCTGGCCCTGGCCCTAGACAATAAACTAATGTGGCTCTTTTCATTCTTCTTCTTCTTCTTCTTCTTCTTCTTCTTCTTCTTCTTCTTCTTCTTCTTCTTCTTCTTCTTCTTCTTTCTTCTTCTTCTTTTGGCTCTTTTCATTCTTAGATGGTGCCATGACCTTGACCAAGAATGCTGGATATTCTGATGATGCTATTTCAGGTAGGTCTGGTGCAGATGATGTTGGTAGTTGGAATTCTCTCCTTGTCAGAATTTGACATACCAAAAAAAGTTCATGAGCATTTGCACTGATAAATCCCTTCAAGTGGGCAGAAGTTGTTGAAGGCTGACCAGAGGTAGAGGGACAAGGTGTATACAAAGGGTGAAGCCAGAGGAGAAAATTCAGCCAAAGTTGCCAGAAGTGGACCTTCAGCTATGGTCATCCCAAAGGGAAAAGCTGAGAAATCCCTTTTCTCATAAATGACCTTAGGTGGAGAAGGCTGGCAAGGGGGCCTAGCGGATTGTGCAAGGAGCTTTTGAGTACCTATGATGGAATACAAAACTTACTTTTCTTACAAAGAATGTTCCATGGGTAGGTTAAATGCCCAGGAAAGCCAACGTTGACTGAGCTGAGAGATTGGTCGTTAAGTGTCAGGTTCATAATGAAAGTTGCGGAGGGAGAATGGAAGACTGAGAGAACAGCCATGTCTGGGGTCCATGCCTGCATTAGTGTCTTGCAGTGGGAAGCACCATGGCTCAGTCATAACCCACATTCCAGGTCCAGCTTCCAGCTTTGCTCTCTCCACCCATGCATTCTCAAGCAACTTGCTTAATTGTCTCTGTAAAACTGGGCTAATAACAGTCCCTAGCTGACTAAGTAAGGCAATCCGGGTAAAGGGCTCAGATCAGAGCTAGACCCGGAGTATAAAGTATATCTTTAGAAAGAATCTGCATTGAGGTGCTCATGTGCCAAATGACACCTATCAATACACACAATCTATGATTCTATGTATCAGTTTAAAAAATACAAAGCTATGAAAAGCTATGGATTTTCAGATGTAAAAATAATCAAATCACTCTAGATTCCATTATTTCTGTATTATATTCTCAGTATCAAATTAGTGATCTGCCTCTTTTTGAAACCAAAACTACTTGAGATGAGAAAAGAAGTTTATCTTGAAGGGCCATTTGCAGACTGAGCTAATAGTCATTAAGCTCTTGGAATAATGCCTAGCACGTAGCCCAGGAGCCCTGACGCCACATGTGTTTTCTGATAACAAAAGATTAAGAGTATTTACTTGTCAGTGGTAGATGAGATTATATGGAGACCATACTCATAAAAATAAAGTCACTTGTAATTCCATCCCCAAACATTTCACTTTTTTCCTTCCTTTAATTTTTACTATGCATCATTTTAATGATCTGTGTTTTGTGTTGATTTTTCATCATTGTCATCATACTCTTTATGTAAGGGGTTTTCCTATTAAATTTTCAATTAACATTTTACTGGGAACATTACGCCATGTACTCCTTTTGAAGTTTGAATGTCGGAAGGTCATTTCACAGTCAGCACAGTCTGGCCATGTGGTCAGAGACATTAACTTCTAAAACGGGCTCCATGTTTGAGTTTCAGCTCCTCACCTACCAGCAAAGTGACTTTGAACAAGTTATTTTAGCTGTCTCCCTCACAGACCTCATTTGTGAAATGGGAAAGAAATAGCATTAATCTCCCAGGGTCGTTTGCAGAGTGACTAACATTCATAAACCTCTTAGAATAGTACCTAGCTTATATAAGAAGTACTTGATAAATATTAAGAAATGAAACCTGACATCATTCTACTTCTAAAAGTTCATAGCACAGGGGACAGATAGGGCTTAAATACCATGAGGTGGAGAAACAAATAGGCTGCTTCAGTTGCTAGGTCTCAGCAAGAACCAACCCCCCCATGCTACCATCTTGCTGAGTAATGTAAAAGAATGCAGAACACTGCTCAAATTTCTAGAAAAAAGAAGCTCGGTAGAAACTAAAGGAATCATATGTCTAATACATGAGTAAGGTGAAGTTTAAAAGGAGCAATTCCATCTGCTTACAGTTATCTGGGTATGTGTTTGTCCAGCTGACCATGCAAATAAGATAAGATCTTTAAGTTCAGAAATCTCTGAGAGACCTAACTCAGTGCTCTGTAGGCAATAGATGCTCAGTTTTTATTTCCTCATCTGGTTGAGTTTGCCATTCAGAAAAGATGACAGATGTCTCCAACAAACCTAGACTAAGATTTTTTTTAACAACTTTCAGGGGTAGAATGTTGACTGCTATTTATAGATGATGATTCTCAACCCTAGAGGCTACAATATTCTCTAAGAGCTCGATGGGTGGTTCTAATGCAAATCAGGTCGGAGAACCATTGGTTTAGGTCAAAAGAAAGCTGAGACTGGAAGATGGAAGGAGGCTTCTGCTGACTCACACAAGGTTAGAGATGGAATTGGACTTTGAACCCAACTGTCAACTGTGTCATCATCACTCTGCCTTCTAGATGAAAATTTAGTTCTTCATGTTTTTTTTTTTCCCTAACAGGAGTTACTTTTAAATGGTCATCCCTCTAAATGGTGGGCTCTATGGCTGGCATTTGAAAACATCTTGGGGAAAATAAATATCTCTATGGAACATTTCCTTTTAATCACTTATTCCTGAACGAATGCAGTGTGATATACACAGCATTTACACTGTACTTGGTATTTTAGGTAACCCAGATGTGATTGTAAATATATTAGAAGAGGTACATAAGTCAATGCAAATAGTTTTCCTTGTATATAAGAGACTTGAACATGATGGAGGGGCAAAGTGGGATCCACAGGAAATCCTAGAATCAATCCCTGGGGATGCCTGGAATTTGTTTACTGAACATGGCTGTCGATGTTGGAGTGAAAATAGTAATACCTATGTTGACTCATGAACTGAATCGCAGATCTCAGAAAGTCATCGTGATCTCTACTTCCTTCAACAACTAAGAATGAAGTCTCTGTCTGAAAAAGATTGCCAAGCATTGTCAAGGAGACATGCCCCAAGGTGCCTCCTCTGGACAGCACCACTGTAATGACTCTCCTGTGGCTCAGAAGTCAAGCCTTGCCCACACCTGACTTATCACATCTAACTCACAAGAGATTAATGACATCAATGAGATCCAAATGTGGTCCTAACAAGTACATCTTTCTGGAGGAAAAACCCTGGAAGAAGCGGAAGTGGAGGTGCAATCTGGACTTCTGAGCAGGAGACTGTAGAAGGATCTCAGACATTGATGGTGAACAAAACTAGACTGTCCCATCACACCATATGAACACTTCCATTCTTGAACAGACATGGAGGGTAGTCCTTGAAAACCTTTCCATGTCTTCCCTTTCACTGTGTTTCTCTGTACCAATCCTGCCCTGGGAACTGGTTCTAGAGGGCAGGGGCTGGGCACAATGTCACTCTGACCCTCCACATGCTGATCCAGGCTCTGACATGGTAAATGTGATTTTGTTTATCTTATTTTCAATACTCATGATTGCCTTTTATGTCTCTGCTAGTCAATGATGCCCACCCACCCCCATTCCTCAAACCCACAAATGTATTGCCGTAAAACAAAAGAGACTCGGAATGTTTGATTAAGTTAAAAGAATCTTGAGATGGGAAGACCTTCTTGGATTATACAGGTGGGCCTAATGTCATTATGACTATCCCTGAGAGAATCAAGCAAGAGGGTCAGAATCAGAGAGAGAAGATATAACAAGAAAAGCAGGTATTGGAATGAGACATTTTGAAACTGTAGGAAGGGTCCATAAGCCAAAGAATGTGGGCTACCTCTGAAAGCTGGCAAACACAGAGAGCTTTCCTCTTGGCACAGCTAAGGGATGTCTGGGTAGAAAGATCTCTAGAAGTTCTACTGTGAGGCAACAAACCCTGTTTTCCTCCTCCTTGGACACTGCTATCTCCAATAAATGAATGTTTGGGACATAGACAGAAATGGGGGCACAAGAGGCTGACTCAGAGCTGCTTGGAGACCCAGGTGTATGTTTGAGTGCTTCCTAGAAAAGCCCCACCTCCACCCGGCCCCAAGCCAGTCCAGCTCAGCCTGGCAATGTGTGCCTGGTCCTTGTTCTCCAGGGTGCTCATAGGCAGATGTGGTTTATCTTCTCTGAGGAGCATTACCCTATCTGGAGCCTGAGGCAGGAATGCTCTAGGATCCTCTGGAATGAGTAACCGGAGAAAGGAGGATCCCTCCTCTTGGAGAATAA